TCCCTCCCTCCCTCCCTCCCTTACTCCCTCCCTTCCCCTTCCCAGGCGGACATGCCCTCAGGGAAGTGGCGGGAAAGGGAGGGCTTCGGTCACATCGCGGGAGGTAGCCAGTGGCACATTGTGCACTGGACTCTGCTGTACGAGGTGGTTGTTGATCCCCAGGTGGGCAAGGAGGGAGGGAGGGCGGGCGGGAGGGCGGGGGAGAGGGAGGGAGGTTGACGAGAAATGGAAGCACGTCAAAGGAAAAATTTGCTCGGAGAGGATCCAGGACCAGCCCTGCGGTCTGGTCGCAAAGACGGTCTGGTTCAAAAATTCGAATTTCCGTTGCTTCTCCGTTACTCCAGGTCCAGAAACTGTTACTCTCGTTGAAGACCACCGGGATCCCCGACGAGTCCTTTTTCCCCACCGCCGGGCTCTGGTTGCAGGAGAAAGCGCAGGTAGGTGATATGATGGAAGAGGTACCTTCGGGGAAGGGCGATGACGTTTGTCCTTCACCTTGGTGATGATGGAAGAGGTACCCACCATCGTGTACCGGGGGTTGGGTCGGAGCGCCTCCAAAGCCTTTCATAACCATCCTCGTTATTCTCTGCCAAACGCATGCACGCGCTTTCCCCGAGTGGGAGGGATGAGATCCCGTCCTTCCCATACCTTCTAGACGTGTTTCATCGGTCTTTTCTCCCTCCCTTGCCCCCCCAGGCCCGCGAGAAAGGATTGAGGCTTCGGATTTTGAACTTGGACCTGAGATATAGCAATGAGAGTAAGGCTGAGAGGGGAGAGGAAAGGAGGGGGCGGGGGAGGGGGAGGGGGAGGTAGCAAGCGAAGAGGGCTGTAAGGGAGGAGGAGAGGCGTGGAGGGCCTTCAATCTCGGTGATTTTCCTGCCATGTGTCGGTTAGAACAGACAGTGCATGCATGTGGATCATGTCTGACCCCCCATACATATATACATAATTATATATATATATCGGGGCTCCGTTACAGACACCCACGCCTTCTATCCCTCAGTAATGTTGCAACCACCTGTGAGCGTCCGCCCCTCATCCCTCCGATTAACGTCTCCTTGCCCCTTACCCTCCCCCCCATTATCCTCCAGGCCACCGTCGGGACCTCAGCTACCCTGGAGAACGAGCCAAACTCAAGCACTTGGGGCAAACCAAGAATAAACTCTGGGCCCGCAAGGCGTTAACGGCCAAGGTGCGTCGGAGGAGGGGCGGACGCGGGTATCGATCTCCCTTACCCTTTGTCCCACATTTTCGTGTGATGCCCGCCCCGCCCTCTTGCTCCCGTCGATATATGTGTATGATCTGGGCATTGTATTCCCCCCTCCAGAGATAAGAGGGTCGCCAGGACGGGGCGGGGGGGGGGGCGATCGTCTTCCCTTCCCTCCCACAGAGGCATGCGTCCCTTCTTACCCATCCCAAACCCCGAGGAGCTCAGACATTCTTGGACTCTGACTCCGCCCGTAAGCATTTCCTTCCCCTCACCGCTCTTCTCGTTTTTTCTCCCCGCAGGTAACCTGTGAATATACCAACGACTTCTTGCGCCTCCACCACGACTGTGCGCCCTACGAAGGGATGCAGCCCATTATCGACGTCGAATGACCCCTTCGTGTGGACCCGGACAGGGACGGGTAGGATGTGGGGGGTCTGAAGGTCTTTTCCTTTGGCTTGGCGGGGACTGAGTCGACCCCTCTATGGAAGGAACCGCGCGCGGGACGTTGGAGAAGGACGGGAAAAACGCAAAGAAGAAGGACTGAGAATCGAAGAAACAGAGAGTATGAGCAACGTGGTGCCACCGCAAGTCAAGCGGCTACACCAGACATCGATTGCCGGCGGGGGCGGGGTGTGATGTGCATGGAGGGTCGATGATGGAAGCGGAAACAACTTTAAGGCTTCCATCATGTGTATGACCAATGATCGAAGAGAACGCCAAGTTATGAATCCTGAGAAGAGGGGTGTGATGTGCATGGAGGGTCGCTGATATAAGGGAACGCCAGGTTATGAATCCTGTCGGCTCGAGCTCTCCTGAGAGTGGGATATTATAAGGCTCGATGGCAGGTCTCAATCAATCCATAAATTATAACACACGAATACTGCAACAACACGTCCTGCTCCTGACAATACAGTTGACTGCTTTTCTTTGGTTTCGTCATGCTTCCCTCTCTCCCTCCCTCCCTTCCTCCCTCCCTCCCTCCCTCCCTCTTATGCGACGAAGAGCACGAAAAGAATCACGAAGGAGAGGAGGAGGAGGAAGGATTTGAAAATCAAAGGACCGTTACTGGAGAGGCGACTGTAAACCCCGAGGAGATAATCCCGAGTCCGCGTCACGTTATCGTGGGCGTCGTCGACGTTGTCTTCGATACTGGAATGGCAAGGGGGG